GCTCCCCAACCCCCTGATGGGCCCTGCTCTGTGCATGACAGGGGGCAGTACTCCAACCCCCAGATTGGCCCTGCTCTGTGCGTGACAGGGGTGGCGCCCCACCCTCCCATCCCCATCGACCCTGCCTTGAGTGTGACACGGGGCGGTTCCCCAACCCCCCAATCGGCCCTACCCTGAGCATGACCTAGGGTGGCATTGCAACCTCCCAATCCGCCCTGCTCTGTGCATGACAGAGGGCGGCACTCCAACTCCCCAATCGGCCCTGCTCTGAGCCCGACCAGGGGTTGCACCTAGGGATTAGGCCTGCCCTCTGCCACCCGGGAGCAGGCCTAAGCCAGCAGGTCATTATCTCCCGAGGGGTCCCAGACTGCGAGAGGGCACAGGCCGTGCTGAGGGACCCCCCTCCCCCCGAGTTGCATAAATTTTTGTGCACCAGGCCTCTAATAGGTAGATATAAAAGGCTAAGTGACTGACCACGCTGGTAGGTATGATGCACACTGACCACCAGGGAGCAGAAGCTCAATATAGGGGCTGCTGAGCGACAGCAACTTTGCAGAGTGACCTCTCGCACTCCGGGACCCCTCAGGGGATGTCGGAGAGCTGGTTTGGGCCCGATTCCTGCAGGCCAGGCTAAGGGACCCCACCTGCTAGAGGGACCCTACGCACTCCACAGATGCCCTTCGAGCCCCGGCACCGCCCCAGTTGCAGCCAGCTGGGGAGGGACCACGGGAGGTTGGCTCCAGGCCGTGTCTGGCCTGTCTCACCCAGTCCTGCCCCACTGGCCACCTTCTAATTAATTTCCTTTCAGTGTGCATGAATCTGTGCACCAGGCTTCTAGTAAGACTATAAAATGAGAAGAGGATAGGGTTTCTAGCCACATAAATAATACAACTTTTGGTTACCAGATAACTGCATTTGATGAACTTTATGAAGTATGCCATGAATTATCTGTTTTAGAGTATAAAGAAATTAAGTCCACAAGAGACATAATTTTTGGTGCTCAATTGAAGATTGGTAGAAGTTTAACAAGTGGAACAACGGACAGTTAGAAGAGAGGTGGACTTAGCAAGGCTGTGTTATGTGCTTCTTCTGGCCGTACCACCCCCTGTGTTGAGTTAAGATGTGGGAAAGAGCCATAAGAAGGCTAGAGATCTGGTCTGACCTTCTTCCTCTAGAATGTGGGATTTTTTTAAACCATTAATTTTGTTGTTCCTACTTATTAGTTATCCTCATTGAGTTATGTATGGAATACTGTGACATTACCAAAACGACCTAGTCAAAACACATTTTCTTGTTAGAAACAAGTATATTACAGTATCAGTTGTTATGGGCAATAAAAGAAAATATCAGCAATTGTGCAGTAATTCTTTATATCTAAAGTTTTCCTTTTGCTTGCATGTAAGACACCTGTGATTTTAACCTTCTGTAGTGGGTTTCTTAATTTCTCAAGAGTTTCCAGGATGCAATTTCTCTTACATAAGAATAAAATGAGTAAGTATCCTTTTTAGTATAGGATTAATAGAAAAAGGATAATGTTATTTTTAGTAATTTTCTCTTTAATTTGATCTGTTTTGTCTTCCTAGACTTTTGAAGATAACATAAGGAAAAACAGGACTGTGATTAGTAACTGGATAAAATACGCACAATGGGAAGAGAGTCTAAAGGAGATTCAAAGGTAAAATTGTTGAGCATGTAATTTTTTTTCAGTTTTATTTATTTTTTCTTTTATTTTCTTTATTAATTAAGGTATTACATATGTGTCCTTATTCCCCCCTTGCTCATGCCCTCAACCCCATAGTGTCTGTGTCCATTGGTTATGCTTATATGCATACATACAAGTCCTTTGGTTGATCTCTCCCCTTCACCCCCACCCTTCCCCACCTTCCCTCTGAGATTTGATGGTCTGATCAGTGCTGTAATTTTATACATAAAGATGTCATAAGTTAATAGATACAAAAAAATAGAAAAAGTTAAAGTACGAGTAGAAGATTGTGTCTTTGTTAGTAATTTTCAGTTTCTTTCATAGAACCTGGGATTCCTTTGAGGGCTTCAGGGGCCCTGTGGTAGGCTAGTGCTGGGGGGAGCAAAGCAGGAGGCTGTACAGGTGGGTCTCTCCACCAGCACACACCCTGTAGCCAGAGAAGTGTAGTTTCATCTGCTTTCTCTATATTGGGATTTTTTTAAATCTTTATTGTTGAGATTATTACAGATGTGCCTCTTTCCCCCCTCCCCCCGCCATCACCCCCCTCTACCCAGTTCCTGCCCCACTCTAGGCCTTAGACACCCTATTACCTGTATCCTTAGATAATGCATATAAGATCTTTGTTTAATCTCTTCCCATCCCCCTTTCCTCTGAGAATCATCATCTGTTCCATTTCCATGCCTCTGATTCTATTTTATTCACCAGTTTATTCTGTTCTTTAGATTTCTTATTTATTTTGATTTTTAGATTCAATTGTTGATAGGTTTGTATTTGTTGCCATTTTGTTCATATTTTTTATCTTTTTTTTTTCTTCTTCCTCTTCTTAAAGAATACCCTTCAACATTCCATGTAATAGTAGTTTGGTGGTGATGAACTCCTTTAGCTCCTTCTTGTCTGTGGAGTTCTTTATCTGACCTTCCATTCTAAATGTTAGCTTTGGCGAGTAGAGTAATCTTGGTTGTAGGTCCTTGCTATTCATCACTTTGAATATTTCTTACCACTCCCTTCTGGCCTGCATAGTTTCCGTTGAGAAATCAGCTGACAGTTGTATGGGTACTCCCTTGTAGGTAACTAACTGCTTTTTTCTTGCTGCTTTTAAGATTCTCTCTTTGTCTTTAGCCCTTGGCATTTTAATTATGATGTGTCTTGGTGTGGTCCTCTTTGTGTTCCTCTTGTTTGGGACTCTTTGTGCTTCCTGGACTTTTAAGTCTATTTTTTTCACCAGGTACGGGAAGTTTTCTGTCATTATTTCTTCAAATATATAGTGGGATTTTTTAAAATAAAAATTGTTTCATTGAAAACCAGTGGCCAATAAGATTAAAATCATGACCTGTTGTTCAGTCTTTCTGCACTCTCCCAGCATACCCCCTGCCCCATTGTGCCTGCCTAGTTGCCATTACCTGAACATATCACGTCTTTTTTTTTAATCCTCACCCAAGGATATTTTTCCACTGATTTGTCTTTTTTAGAGAGAGAGAGAAACACCGATGTGAGAGAAACACATCAATTGGTTGCTTCCCACACAAGCCCTGCCCAAAGTCTGGGATTGATCCTGCAACTGAGTTACACGCCCTTGACCAGAATCAAACCCAGGACCCTTCAATCCACTGGCCAGTGCTCTATCCTGAGCCAAACTGGCATGAGCTGGGGCTCACGTCTCCTGACTGTTCTCTCTGCCTAGAATGAGTACCCCTCCCCACCCACTTTCCTCAAGTTCCAAATTAGTTTTCAGTTCTGGAGTAATATGCTTAGCCTTTTACACAAGAAATTTTTATTTCTTTTCCTTTGCTTCTTTGTACAGATCTTGACTATGATGTTTATCGCATTGCATTGTAATTACATGCAAAGACTTTAAGTCTTTTTAAGGTTTCTGAGAATAGCATCATAGCTTTTCACCTTTTTATGCCTAGAAAATGACTCATGATGGACACCTGATAAAATGGCAGGGCACTGCAAATGGTTTGAAATAGTTGCTATGTTGATGTATGTACTGCTTTTAATGCCCCCCAATTCTTGCTTCTTAAGGGCTCGATCCATATACGAACGTGCTTTAGATGTGGACTATCGAAATATTACACTCTGGCTGAAATATGCGGAAATGGAAATGAAGAATCGCCAGGTCAACCATGCCCGAAATATCTGGGACCGGGCCATAACAACTCTGCCCCGAGTCAACCAGTTCTGGTAAGTTTCTTATCTAATGAAATGGCTTTTTGTAGACTAGAAAAGTTCCACATTTGCATACTTATTTCATTTACATAGTTGGAATCATATAGATGTATTTAATTTTATACATGTTAAGTATGTATAAGTGTTTTTGAATGTCTTATAATCTATCTTACCTAAGAATAGATAAACATGTAAATTGACCGTACCTTCGCTATGCTACCCAGCCATCAGGAGAGTATGCAAATTAACCTAACAAAGATGGCAGTTAATTTGCATACGTAGGCTCCAAGCGGTGGAGTGAAGCCTGATGGTCCCGGGGTTGGCGGAGCAGCGAAAGCCTCATGGCTCCAGGGCCGGCTCTGCCTGGAGCCCAGCCAGAGCAAAGGCCTGGTTGCCGGGTGCCAGAGGAAAACCAGTGCCAGCAGCCAGGGGAAAGGAAGGCCTATTGCACAAATGTCTTCATGCAACAGGCCTCTAGTCTATTATATAAAAGGCTAAGTGACTGGTCAACTGGCCGGTAGGTATGACATGCACTGACCACCAAGAGGCAGACGCTCATCGCAGGAGCTGCTGAGCGACAACAACTTTGCAGAGTGCCCTCTCGCACTGCAGGACCCCTCAGGGGATGTTGGACTGCTGGTTTCAGCCCAATCCCCACAGGCCAGGCCGAGGGACCCCACAGATGCACGAATCCATGCACCGGACCTCTGTCTATTATAATCATGTATAATAGGTGTGTAATCAAAACTAAAATTTTGATTGCAGTCTTTTATGTATAAGAAAATTCTTGTTGAACTAAGCAATTTTTAAGAAAAATATATTTCTAATGGTTCATTCTTTTCAGACTTACATATATATATATATATTTTAAGTATATTTTTATTGATTTCAAAGAGAGGGAAGGAGAGAGAATGATACATCAGTGATGAGAGAGAATCATTGATTGGCTGCCTCCTGCACTCCACACACTGGGGATCAAGCCTGCAATTCAGGCATGTGCCCTGACCGAGAATTGAACTGTGACCTCCTGCTTCATAGGTCAACACTCAACCACTGAGCAATGCCAGCTGGACCAGACTTATATTTTAATAAGAAAACATATTTAATTTAACCTTTAGGGAAGATAAAGTCTTAAATCTTCTTCACATTTAACAACGTTAAAACTAGAAATTGCCAAAGAACATTTCTTCCCTAAGTTATTTAAAATATTTTTTTATTTTTTAATTACAGTTGACATAAAATATTATATTAGTTTCAGTTATACATTCCAGTGAAGAGACATTACATAACTTAATATATGATCATTCCAATAAATCCTGCAATATAAATCCCCATTTAGCACCACAACCTCGTTATTAGAATATCATTGTCTATTCCCTATGCTGTACTTTACATCCCCATGACTATTTTTGTAACTGCCAATTTGTACTTCTTAATCCCTTCCCCTTTTTCACCTGGCCCCCCAAATTCTCTTTCTTCTGGCAACTGTCAAAATGTTCTCTGTATCTATGAGTCTGTTCTGATTGTTCATTTATTTTTTTCTTTATATTCTGCATTTAAGTGAAATCATGTAGTATTTGTCTTTGTTTGACTTATTTCACTCAGCACCATCCCCTCTAGGTTCATCCATGTTGAGTTCATAAATGACAGGATTTCATTCTTTTTTATGGCTGTGAGTTATATTACATTGTATAGATGCACCACTTCTTTATCCATTCATCTGTTGATAGACAATTAGGTTGCTTCCATATCTTGGATACTATAAATAATGTAGCAAGAAACATACAGATGCATGTCTTTTTGAGTTAGTGTTTTGGGTTTCTTCAGATAAACACCCAGAGGTAGAATTGCTAGGTCCTATTTTCTCTCTTATTACAGCCTTTGTTTTAAGGTCTATTTTGTCTGGTATAAGTATTGCAACCCCAGCTTTTCTTTTTTTCATTTCCACTTTTATGAAATACCTTTTTCCATCCTTCTACTTTCAGTCTATGTGTGTCTTTCGATCTGAAGTGAGTCTCTTGTAGACAGCAGCATATCTGTGGATCTTGTTCTCTCATCCATTCAGCAACCGAAGTCATTTTGACCATGACAGATAACTTCGGATGATTTTATTAAAGGTACAAATACACGTACATGGAGGAGATGCTGGGAAATGTGGCTGGTGCCCGGCAGGTGTTTGAGCGCTGGATGGAATGGCAGCCTGAGGAGCAAGCCTGGCACTCCTACATTAACTTTGAGCTGCGATACAAAGAAGTGGATCGGGCCCGCACCATTTATGAGAGATATATCCTTTGGATGAAGTCTGAGTGATGCCATTATTGTCTTGGTCCTGCTCCTGTGGAAATGTCATCGTGGTCAGGACACATCATTAATGTTGGCCTAGAAGTCAAGGATGCAAATTTCATCTTCATAAGCTACATATAAATTTTCTAGGGACATAGGTTGGTCAGGAAAAAAGTCTGTGGTCTGGGTAATTGTTTGAGTTTTTTTCCATTGAGATTTAGGATTTGTTTATATTTTGACAACAATGCAATGGTTCCTTTTGGAAGATGACACACTAAGGCCCTGGCTGCTATAGCCAGTCCTATTTTTCTAGGATTAAAGTTTAAGGTTATTAGCACCATTATTGGAGTCCATCCAAAGGATTACCAATTACTAATGATATGATTGCAATGAGTCAGTTAATTTATTTGAGACTTGGTGTCCTCATCTTTAAAAGAGAATAAAGGTTTGTACTACGGGGTGGTTGTAAAGATTAAATGACAACATGTGAAAGCACTCTTAGCAGCTGAAATAGTTGATCCTCATTATGCACTGTTACCATAGTTATGACTTCTACTTGCTAAAATTTATTTGTAACCCCAAAGTCAGTATTTGTGGCGCTTTCAGTCATTTGCAAGCATAGAGTGATGAAAAATTTGAGTCACCCAAGGCATATGGCCCCACCTTAGGCAACATTCTGCCTTCTTGTCTCTGCTCTGATACAGAGATGATCAGAGGATGGACACTGGAGACAGGATAAGGCAGTGACTCTCTATGAGATATGTATATAAATACATACATACATGTTTACCCTAGCAGCAATGATTTGGTATTCGCTAACTAAGAAATTACAGTGACTTCATAGGATATAACTAACACAAATAATGAGAATCAACTATTGTGCAATTTAAGCTCTCAATTACCTCTACTGTTTTTAATATTAGTTTAACAAAAGCTTTTAATATCATTTCCTTTGTGTCAGGCATTGCTCTCTAAGCACTTTACAAATATTGTTATTTAATCCTCATGACAACCCTGTGATACAGGAACTACTTCATTCTACAGATGTGGAAACTGAGGGATGAGAGATTAAGTAGCTTGATCAGGGTCTCTGAGGTAGTGATGTAGGTAGGACTTGAACCCAGTAGCAGATTCAGAGCCAATGCTCTGAACATCATTGCCTTATTTGAAGTGTTACTAATGGAAACAAATGGTTTTCTCAAGGAAGGTAGATTAAAAATAGGTATATAGATCCTATTAAGAAATAAAATTGTAGCCAAAGCCGGTTTGGCTCAGTGGATGGAGCATCGGCCTGCGGACTGAAGGGTCCCAGGTTCGATTCCGGTCAAGGGCATGTACCTGGGTTGCGGGCACATCCCCAGTGGGAGATGTGCAGGAGGCAGCTGATCGATGTTTCTCTCTCATCGATGTTTCTAGCTCTCTGTCTCTCTCCCTTCTTCTCTGTGGAAAATCAATAAAATATATTTAAAAAAAAAAAAAAGAAATAAAATTGTAATTTAAAACTTTCTCTTTTAGCTCTAGGTAGCCGTTTTCTTTCTGTGACTTGTTTTTTCTCCATCATTAATGCAAACACTAATGCTATTGAGCATTTAGTATAATAGATGCCATGTATTAAGCATGCTCTTTTGGCCAGAAACAGCTAAGAGATTTACATACATTTTCTCATTTAAAGACAGCAGTCATCCAGTGTGGTCAGTATTGTTTTTAATACTGTGTTTACAGATGATAAAACTGAGGCTCAGACATGTTAAATGACTTGTTCAGGTCACATTGCTAATTACTAGGGTTCACCTTTGATGCCTCTAGACTCCTGTTTGTACCATTACCAACAATGTGTCCCAATACTAAAATACTGACTAAGCACTGGAGGCAGACACAGCTCCCTCACACAGGTCACAGTCTAGTGATTGTCCACCTTTGTACGTGTTTTATCATCCCCGTAGGCGTAGTGTGTTTCGTTGTGGATTTGGGTTTTGTTTGTTCTTTAAGCCACGTTGTCTTGCTGGTATTTCTTTAATTCCTCTGCACTTGTACTTGTGCACCCTGATGTTAAGAACTGGATCAAGTATGCCCGCTTTGAGGAAAAACATGGTTATTTTGCCCATGCACGAAAAGTGTACGAGAGAGCTGTGGAATTCTTTGGAGATGAACATATGGATGAACGCCTTTATGTTGCCTTTGCCAAATTTGAAGAAAATCAGAAAGAAGTAAGTAAACTTCACTCAGTTACATTGCAAAACAGCTTAGAAAACATGACTTCTTGTCACATCAAGTTTATTTCCATGTTTTTATGCACTTACTGGAGAAAATGTTTTCAAAATGTACATTTGTGGCTAAGTTGCATATTGGGAGCTGAGTGATTATAGATTGTATCATAACTATCTTAATTTTGTTGGTCTGTGCTTGACATATAAGCCTTTAAGTCTGGAGTGAGAATATTAACTATAATCTGAGAATGAGTCACTTGGTATCTTGATTAGAAGGCTTTACAAATCCTAAACCTGGGAAACAACCCAGAGCCTTCAGAACAGAGAATATAATTTTTCATGAAAACAGATTGTCCCACAGTCAGTTCTTCCAGAGTATGTACGGAAAATAAACCATTTATTTATTTACTTATTGTTGACAGTATTACAGATGTCCTACCCCCTCCCCCATTCCCCTTTACTCCTCCCACCCATCCCCTCCCTGAATGCAGGCCCTTAGGTCATATTAGGGAATTCAAATTCTATTATAAGGGCAGCCGGAAGTATTGAAGGGTTTTAGTAGGAGAAAACCATGGTAGGATATAATTTATATTGCAAGGAGTGCCCCTAGCTAACTTACAGAGATTGTATTAGGGGGAGGGTAGCAAAAGTAGAGGAGACTTGAAATGATCCAGGGAAGAAATGGAGATGGTTTGGCAGTGGGGTGGGGGGAAGTGAAGGGCTGTGTTGAAGAGGTAGAAATGGCGAGGCTTGAAACAGTGAGAGGACTCATGGAGGGTTCTAGGGAATTTTAGCTTCAGCAACTGTGTAGCAGTAGGTATTGCTTAATCAAGATTGGGAAGACTTGGGTTTGGTGGGGAGAAACAGGAGGTCAGTTTCAGACCTTTTAGTTTGAGATACACAGATGACATCCAGCTTTAAATGTGGAGCTCAAAGGAAAGCGTCAGTCCTTCCTGACTGAAAGATCTCATTGAAAGGGAGAAGAAAAATCTCATTTTTGACATTGTGAGGCCTTAAAATCTAATTTATAAGTAATGTTTTATGTCATAACTACTTTCCTAATCATGACTAGAATGAGAATGTTATGTGGGGGCAGATAAAATCATCTTGTCTGCTTTCAGTTTGAAAGGGTACGAGTCATATACAAGTATGCCCTGGATAGAATTTCAAAACAAGAGGCCCAAGAGCTCTTTAAAAATTATACCATCTTTGAGAAGAAGTTTGGAGATAGGCGGGGTATTGAAGACATCATTGTGAGCAAACGGAGATTCCAATATGAAGAAGAAGTGAAGGTGAGTGCTGGTGTATATGCTTAATTCTGCAAGTAAGTAAGGTGTGCCAGTCAATACTAGCTATAATAAAATGAATAAGCGAGTTAGGGCTACCAGTCATTACGCTCTTGATGTGTCTGCAGTAAATGGACAGCTATTTCAGACAGATCAGGTAATTGAGGCTGATAAAAAAGGTGAGCAAACAACACCTGGACTTGCTCTGCCACTCACAGGTTGAAAGTCACTTTGATTGCTGATTGTGTGCTGTAGAAATTGAGCAAGATAAATCTGGAATCCATTTGTGCTTTTAAAAATATACATATTTTTATTGATTTCAGAGAGGAAAGGAGGAGAGAGAGAAAAACATCAGTGATGAGAGAGGATCATTGATTAGCTGCCTCATGCACTCCCCCCACTGGGGATCGAGCCCACAACCCGGACATGTGCCCTGACTGGAAATTAACCATGACCTCCTGGTTCATAGGCTGACACTCAGCCAGAGTCACACTGGCCAGGCATTTGAGCTTATTTTTTAAAAAATTAAGCAGAGTCAGGGACTGATAAAAAACAACCACAAAAACACCAGTTTTTATACATTACCTTTTAGTTTAACTGTTTGAATGTAAGATGTACTGTAGATATGGGTTGTTTTTTTTTATCATCTCTTTACCTGTAATGGACTATTTTGATTTGAATTTAAAGACAGTAGCATTTCAAGATACCTACCAAAGATGTAAGTCTAGTGTTAAATGAGGTCAGCAAGATATGTTAAAGGTAAATGACTATTAATTGAAAAATCAGGTTTCATAATTGTGAGCATGGTTTAATTCTATTGTAATTTTAAATCCAGATGTAAGGACATATAGTCACATATATAAACAAATACATTTGCAAAAATAGGCATCGAATTATTGAATAATTGTCTTGGCGGTGGTTATACAAGGAGCCTTGCTGTGGGACACCTGGCTAATCATCTGTCCTCTATACGGTAGTTTCCCCCACCCCCTCTGAAGTTTCGCTTTCCACTGTCTTAATTACCCACAGTCAACCATGGTCCAAAAATATTAAGTGGGAAATTCCAGAAATAAATAATTCACAAGTTTTAAATTGTGCCTTATTCTGCCTAGTGTGATGATATCTCAAGCCATCCCGCTCCGTTCTGCCTGGAACATGAATGATCCTTTTGTTCAGAGTCTCCACACTGTGCACTACCCACCTGTTAGTCAGTTAGTAGCAGTCTGGGTTATCAGATAACTATCACAGTAACACAGTGCTTGTGTTCAGGTAGCCCTTATTTTACTTAGTAATTGCCCGAAAGCGCAAGAGTAGTTTACCTTTTATCATAGATATGTATGTATAGGAAAAAACTGTGTGTGTGTGTGTATGTGTATATATATATTATATGGTTCAGTACTATCTAGGGTTTTGGGCATCCACTGGGGTCTTGGAACATATCCCCCACAGATAAGGGGGGACTACTGATTTTTATATATTTTTTCTATTTATAAAATCTCAGTAATGATATGTTTTTAAATGCCATAGCATGTAAAATCTAGAGAAAAAGTTGCTAAAATATAGAAGGTGAGTTTGGTGCTCTCTTTTAGCTCACACAATCCAGCAAATACGGCTTTTGGTTTTGTTTTTATTTATTAAATTTACTGTCTTTCTAGGCTAATCCACACAATTATGATGCCTGGTTTGATTACCTGCGGTTGGTGGAAAGTGATGCAGAAGCAGAAACGGTACGAGAAGTCTATGAAAGAGCTATTGCCAATGTCCCACCCATTCAGGAGAAGAGACATTGGAAGCGTTACATCTATCTTTGGGTCAACTATGCACTCTATGAAGAACTGGAGGCAAAGGTAAGGATGTGGAATTATGTGTCAACTACTAGTGATTTCCTCACCACGGTGCTTAAAGCTTGCTTTTGTAGGCAGTTACAGATATTTACAATCGTTGAAGCAGAGGAATTCAGTTTTAGATTCTAATAGGCCTTATAATTCTAATAGTCATATAATTATATATTCTCTCTCTAACATTTTTAATTCTCTATCTGTTGTGGGTACAGGTGAGGTGTGTTTCTTGTTTTGTTGTGTTTTGTTTTTTAAACCTTGAGGCACAATGTGATTATCACTTGGAACTTGAGAGGGAACAATGAACCAGCCCTTAGTTGAATTATACATAGTTTCCTGGGCTTTCTCATAAATAGGGATCATGGCTAGATTGCACATCCTTGCTTTTGTAAAGACCAAGAGGGATTTTCAGAAGTTGGTCATGTATAAGTTAAGAGACAAAGATCAATTTTATGCTGTTGATCTGAGACTGTGAAGCATTTTTGCGTCTGCTGTCAGGCTGAAAAGCCTTTCTGCAGAGACGCTTTCAGAATTTGACAGGGATGTTGTTTGACTCTTAAACCAAAGTTTGATGGCTACTTTTTAAAAAATATATTTTTATTGATTTCAGAGAGGAAGTGAGAGAAAGAAACATCAATGATGAAAGAGAATCATTGATTGGCTGCCCCTGCACGCCCCGTACTGGGGACCTAGCCCACAACCCAGTCATGTGCTCTGACCGGGAATTGAACCTTGACCTCCTGGTTAAACGCTCAACCAATGAGTCATGTCGGCTGGGTGGTAGTTCACACTTTTAATCATAAATTATAGATTTTTTACAGAGAGGAAGGGAGAGGGATAGAGAGTCAGAAACATCAATGAGAGAGAAACATCAATCAGCTGCCTCCTGCACACCTCCTTACTGGGGATGTGCCCGAATTGAACCTGGGACTTTTCAGTCCATAGACCAACGCTCTATCCACTGAGCCAAACCGGTTAGGGCTAATCATAAATTATAATCAGGGTTTGAAAATAGCAACTTGTGAAAAAATATGTCATGTTGGGAGTGTCCATTTTTTCACTAGTATTAATAAAATTAATAATATTAGTAATATTTTGTGAAAATTTCTTATCCTAATATAGGATCCTGAAAGGACAAGACAGGTGTATCAAGCCTCTTTGGAACTAATTCCTCATAAAAAGGTACATTTGCTCTTAGTGTTCTGTTTCAAAAGTTAAAACCCTGCTTCTGTTACTTGTGAAATAGTGCAGTGAAATATTTATTGATTGACTGTTTTCCTGTATAGGCACCATGAAAAACATAATAAGAATGAAATGTGCTCTTTGCCTCTGAAAATAGCTTATAATCCAGTTGAGAGGACAGCCTGTGACAAATGACTAAAACAGTAGAAATTCAGAGGATGGGTAATCTATAATAATAAAAGCGTAATATGCTAATTAGACTAGACAGCCGAACGACCTTCTGGACATCCTTCCTGATGAAGTCAGCTGCGGCTGGGGCCAAGGCAGAGGCGTTTAGGGGCGATCAGACAGGCAGGTGAGCAGTTAGGGGTGTCAGACAGGTGAGTGGTTAGGGGTGATGAGGCAGGCAAGCAGAGTGGTTAGGGCGATGAGGCAGACAGGCAGGGAGCGGTTAGGAGCCAGTGGTCCCAGATTGTGAGAGGGCTGTCCAACTGCCGGTTCAGGCCCAATCCCGCAGTGGGATCGGGCCTAAACTGGCAGTCGGACATCCCCCGAGAGGTGCCAGATTGCAGGGTGCAGGCCAGGCTGAGGGACCGCCCCCCCCCCCCCCCCCAATGCACCAGGTTTGTGCACCAGGCCTCTAGTTGGAATAGACTGAGTGGAAGGGGGAAGATGCACATCCAGAGAGTACACAGCATGTGCCAGACACAGGGAGCAGGTGTTTGTAGGTAACTGAGTGGATGTATGCATGCAAGGGTGAGCACAAGTGTATTCTGGAAGTGGGTGAGACATTATCTCTGCCATATTTCCCAGCACAAGAAATAAATGGAGATATTGACCGAGTTACCTGCTGGAATAGAGATGGTGGCATGCCCACAAAACAAAGCAGATTCTAAGTAGGGGCTGCAGGGCCATGTGATACTATACAGTATCTAGATTACTGGATGTTTTTGTTGTAAAAATATTGTCGTTTTTGCTTATAAACAAGAAAATACATCTGTCCTAGCTCTGAAATTTTAGGGAAATCTTAATTCAATTTAATTTAAATGAGTCTCTTAAGTTAGATGTTGTGCTTTTGTTTTCTAGTTCACATTTGCCAAAATGTGGCTACTATATGCACAATTTGAAATAAGACAGAAAAATTTACCATTTGCCCGAAGAGCTTTGGTAAGTAAAGAAAGGATCAAGACGCATCAAGTTCTGTGAGAAGGAAATTAAAGTCTTAGTGCTTATAAGTTGTACAGTTCCTATTAGAAATAGAAGTATGCCTTTAAACACTGAGACATGTTAGAGCACACATGTTCTTCGAAGGAAGATTGGGTGAGAATGCTTAAATTATTTTATTTCAACATTGGAAAGTTATAGCTAACAGTTACCAGATCTTTCCTCACACTGGAAAGATCTTCTCTTAGGTCAGATCTGGTCTTTAGTCTGATCCTGTGCAAAATTTTTGTTGTATTAAATGTACCTCCTCTTAACAGTTACCCTGAAATTTCTTTATAGGATCAAATACTCTATTTCTGCAGTTGTCCTCCGATAGGCTACTCTCACCCTGGCTGTGGACAGCAAAGTAGATTTCATTCTTTGACTACCTTTTTACTTCTGGGAGATTTTATACATCTGACACCCATATTTCCTAGGAAATGCTGAGGAACTGAATAAGCACCAAAATAGTGTCCATAT